CTGTAAAACTACACCATGGAATGGTTCCCTCAAACTGTAGGTCAAGCATCTAACTTGAAACAGGCTATCATAGATCCTACATTTTACAGTTTTTTGTTGTCTCCCCCAAATTATGTTTATAAGTACCCTCAGCAACCCCTGTATACAGTCAAAATTCCTTTATGACCATCAACATGATTAGGACAATTCTAAATGCCCTAAATTCAAATAGGTGTATTTGGGCTTGTCCTGTAAGATTCCTACTGAGATTCCTCAACCGCTTTCTTTTCTAGCTGAACTAGAATTTCTACCTAGTGTTTTCGTTCACCTAGTCCGGATGAGTACAAAGCTAACCACTAGTAGGGTTCCATGTGAAGTGGTCGAATGTCATTAGGTGCTTCCTACAATGACAAATGACTTGCTTTCTGGAACTGTAGAGCTACTCAAATAAGGTTAGTGGTGTTTCCTGGTAGAAATCTTGGGAAATATTTTAGTGGGGGGCTATTTTATTGCCAATTTGTAAATCATCACGGCTGCTAGTTCGAAAATTATTAAATATAGAGTGGTTTGAGAATTACCCAAGTAACCATTGTTGATAAAATACAGACAGATGGGTTGACAAGCTACCAAAAACATTATATACCAAAATATGTATTTTTATCAACATATCATAATAATAGTGAGTTAGACTTTTGATTGCCCCTACGCGTTAGAACTATCGTCTTGTCTGTGTTGATTTGAAATATAGAAAGGAATATGGTATTATACTATTATGCTAGCAATTGGGTTTCACACAGTATAATGGCAACTCCTCAACCATCTGATGTCGACAATATAATGTCAATAATAGATGGCCAAGGAGAGACGTTTCTCTATATAAAGTGGGTTGTCAATGAGTTGGGTTCGGTTCAGGACTGACCCAATTCTAGAGAGGTCTAGATTTCCTTGGCCTGGACATGAACCGCTTGGTCCACTCGGTGGATCTAGAACTGGTCCCCATTAGGTTATCAGGTTGAACAGATCCGATTGACACCCATTACTTGAAGTCCTTTGAAGGAAAGGATGTGTCCAAATCTTTTCGTTATTGCGTAGTCATTTGCATTTGTAAATGTAAATCACCTGTCAATCACTGGTCTTGCTGTGTCGCCCACTAATCTAGACTTTAAGAGGAACAAAAAGAGCATAAAGCCTTTATTGATATCGACTGTGCGACAATGTCTACTTCAAATTCTAGTACACGATAGTCTCGAATGTATTGTTGGTTATGTATTTCAACAAAAATCAAAATAGTGATAAGTCTATTGAAGTAGGATGTGTACTGGAGTGTTATGGACCATGTGTGGGCCTTTCTTGTTTGAGTCCTCCATGGGAGAGGGGGACAGAGTATCATCTACAATTCCAGATTTGTCTTTTTTTATTCCTGAATGTTGACTATTTCATTACTTATGGGACATTTGAAATAGTGCCAAAAAAAAATATGCAGACCCACATTTGCTTGTGCAGCAAAGAACCAACCGCATGAGAGATTGTTATTCTGAATTTCTATCAACGTTTTAATAAATTAAAAGTATATATTAATACTTCTTGAATGTCGCAACCTAACTCTTGATAGAGCATAATGAAAGACCAGGATTTGTACAGCCGACCCTAAATAGTTAGGAAAAATCTCTGATGATGATGGTGAACATCACAATCCAGCTTTTGGATGTGATTAAACGAAAAAAAAAACCTCTTGGATGTGAAATCGGATGGTAAGAGGTGTGCTAGTCTTAAAGTTCAGAAGGGCTGGCTCTTTGGAGTCATCCTTTTTTTATACCAATACCAATAGGTGATAAAATACGAGATAGTAGATTTAGATAAGTTGGCCATGTGTAGTGCGGATCCAGTATAACACAGAGGTACAAGTTAGTTCCAGTGAAAGGCTAAAAAAAGACAAAAGATATATCCAAAAAGATATGGTTGATTTATGACAATAGTATGACGAGCAGAATGACATAACAAGATTCGTACAGAATGATGGATCAAGATTTATGTAGCCAGACCTTATTTAATTAAAAAAAAAACTATAACATTGATGATGAAGAGATCCGAAGAATTCTCAAGTGACTCACTCGTAGCTAAGTGCCCGTCTTAAAGTTGGAAAGGGATGTCTCTCTCTGGATACATCGAACCAGTCTAGGAATAATTGTGACCTTTTAAATTGAAGCTAAATATTAGACAGTTCTGTGTTTTTTTTTCGGTTAATGGATGCTCTTGGAACATGGTTCGGTCGCTATCGATACGCACCGAAATATCAATTGAACCACAAAATTTCAGTAACTTTCGTCCCTGCGGAAGCACGTGTTCCGAAATTTCGTTATCATCTTTTGAAAGAAGACCCCACTTTCAAGGGGAGACCACAAAACATAGAGAGAGAAAAAAGTAGAGAGAGAAAGAGAGAAGTAAAAAAGTTGGGATTTGTTGGTCGTTGTGTTTATTTAAAAAAGCAAGCAAAATACATTAAAAAAAAAGAGAATCCTCGATTCACGGGCCCTACCCTTTCGTTTGCTTTTTGCCTCCTCCTTTTTATTGAAAGTCTCATCCGCATGTATGAAAGCCACTTGTCGCGACCTGGTCCACGTGCCGTCAGCACGTGGCTTGGTGAGCAACCGTGGGGACCCACGTACTTTCTTCCCAATAATGTAACGCCTCGCTTGTGTAGTTGGACCAATCTCAACACTTCTATTTTTTTCTATTTTTTGCAATCGAAGCCCGCAATTAAAAATAAAAATACTTTAACAATATCACCGACAAAAGAACTGAAAAAACAAATAAAAGGCACAAAAAACAGAAAAGTAAATTGCATTGTCTAAAGGAACGAATTTATACACGGTTACAAAAAGGACCGTGTATAAAAGGCCGGATTACACATATTGTATGTCTAGGCCCTTACAGGGTGTTGATCATTCAGGTCGCGAACAAGGACAGGATTTGTATAGCTTATCCTAAATAAAGAGAATAAAACTCAAATGATGATGATATAGAGGGTACATGTTAGTTGTATTTTGATAAGTTAACGTGGAATATCAGTCTTGGATGAGCACTCTAGCTGCCGCTCAATTTCCCAGCTCAGCTGTGAAGCTACACCATTGTGTCGGGGCTCATATTCCTGAATAAAAGAAAACATGAGTAATCATTTAGTTTTCCTCTCCTTTTTTTTTTTTTTTTATACTTTTGTGGAAAATGATGAAGAGAGGATAGCAAGCTAGAGCAAGTGTTTCGATGCATAAAGTAAGATTTTGTAAACTGACATATTGGGGTACAACATGGTTGCTTTCGTACTAGAGTTTGTTTACCTGATTTAGAAGATTAAGATTGGGAGGTGGGCGATCCTTGTACATGGAAACCTTGGAATTGCCTAATTCTTTTCGAGTTATTTTTTAGACTTTTCGTTGTTGGTAGGTTGGTTTAACTCGAGAACCACAAAAGTCAGAATAGTTGAACAAAAATTGATTCTTCAGCATTTTCGAGCCCAATTCCATTTTTTTTAAAAGATTATTTTAAATTTTGTTCATATTATAAATTAATTTATCATTATACTCAACAAATTTGAAGACTTCTATATCATTATTTTGTACGTAAAGTTTTTTTTTAATAAATTTTTTTTTATAATTAAAAAAGTACGACGTCATCCAAATGAAGTGTGACATCACTCATATAGAACATCAAATGCCACTAGTATACTCTATGTACAAAACAAAGGAATAAAAATGTCTAAAATTTATTAAGTACAATGATAAATTCTTGTTAGCGTGAGCACCCTAACATAACATAACTCTTTCTCTTTAAATAACTAAAGTGAAGGATCAAATAAGAATAGAAGGAAAGATAGAAGGAAAGATGTAAGAAAAACTGAGACAAAAAGAACAAAAAAAAATGAATTGGGAAAAAGAGAAAGTTGGAGATTAGGAGTTTGACGGTTGACGCCGAAAACAGAGAAATTCGTTTTGTTGAAAAGGTAAGGAGCCCATTGACAAAGAGAAAGATGCTTCTTTTGAATCAAGTAAAGAAGACAGAGAGAAGTTCTCGTTTCCCTTTCATAGACCCCACGACCAACATAACTAGATTAATGCATTGTGTTCAAAGTTTTCGATTTGGTTTGGTGGATTGGCAATTTGGATTGCTGGATTAGAAATTTTACAGCTGGATTTTCAATTTGGTTTAGTGGATTGATAATCCGGATTATCGAATTCGAAATTTAAAAAAATTAATTGGCCAGTTCTCGATATATTAAGTTATCTAAATTGATTCAATCAATTCTCGATCTAAATCGACCGGTTCCTATCTAGTTACATAATTTCTATCTAGTTACATAATTTTTTTTAACAGTGCTACCCGCCATTAATATCAAAATGGGTGTCTCAAAAAAATCATTTCAAAATAAGATGATAAATACGATTGCAAAAAAGAGATCCTCAAACAACCTCAAGCTTTCGCACGAGGTCATGGGCCGTGGGGGCAGAAACAATAATATGACGGGCAGCGGGGGCAATAAAACCCTCGTCCACAGCCTGGTCTATGAAACTTAGCAGCGAATTGTAAAAGCCATCCACATTTAACAAACCAACCTGAATACAAAAGATTAAAAAATAAAATGAATATTAATATTTAGGTTCGAAGATCCCGAAAAATTGGACTCAGTCGAAATAAAAATACAAAAATTAAATGATTTTTTTGAGAAATTTACCGGTTTGTCATGGATTCCGAGCTGAGCCCAAGTGATCACTTCCAGCAATTCTTCCAGCGTTCCGTAACCGCCTGTGTTTTTATTTTAAATTCATTTCAGAAATTTCGTTAATTCAACGATAGAAATTGAACTTGCTAACCACTCAAGCCCCGGCCTGATTCCTTAAATAGATAAAAATAATAATTCTTTTCTTATACTTTTCAATATTTTTGAACTTTTAATTTTTTAATTAAAGGGTTTGGTTTGTATAAAGGTGAGGCCCTAATCAATGAAAGTAAGGCACACCTTCAAATAGTGTCCAAGTGTGTTCTAGTATAAAAAATCTTTTTGATGGTGTAAACATTTATTTTCATCTCTAATTGTAAAGTTTAAATATTCAAAATAATATAGATTAAACATATCTATGAGAACTTAAAAATCTTGAAAATTGACGATCAGATAATATATTATAAGATGCAATATTTCTAAAGCTTAAAATCTATTTTTTCTCGTGTCTATACCTCTCGAGGTCGAGATATCAAATTGAGGGTTTTTCAACATGGCAACAATCCCTTCTTTTAAATTTTTGAGGTACACCTTAATTTGATTGTTTAAGGCCTCACCCTAATATAAACTTTATCAGTAAGTAAAATAAATTTCAAAGAATTTTTTTTTAAAAAAACATCATACAAATATATAAGGGTGTGATTTCCATAAGGTTGCAACTTTAAACAATGCACACCTTTAAATTTTATCATAACATATAATTTTGATATAAAATATTCTTAAAATTATCTCAAAATCTATTTTCAATCATAAAATTTTAAACTCCAAAAATGATTAGATTCAAGTCAATCTATAAATATATGAAAATGGGCGGTGTAGATATTGTGTTGTAAGATGCACCATTTTTGGGACTCAAAATGCTTTTTTTATCTTTCTTTCTTCGTCATACATCTCGATGTTGAGATGATCAATTAGAGGGTTTTTCAACATTAAAAGACATCTCGATATTGAGATGATCAATTAGGGTTTTTCAACATTAAAAGAGATCTCGATGTTGAGATGATCAGGGTTTTTCATCATTAAAAGAACATTTCCCGATGGATTTTTGAGGTGCAGCCTGCAACCTTGTAT